TCATGTAAAGACAACTTTTTCAAATATAAATTTGAATAAAAATATTTATGTAATAATCTCAATTAAATTGAAGCTTTTGCTAGATTACAACAATATGATATGATATCTAATTTACAATTGGTTGTTGTTCTAAATTTATTCTTCCTTCTCAATAAGCATACCTAAATACAAAAAAATACATCTTACATTACTTAAAAGGTATATTAAATTACAGTATTTTATTTCTCAAATACAACATTCTAGATTATGAAAGAGATAATAATATTAAACATTCAATAAAGAATATTTCATATAAAATTGGAATAGCTACCATTGGTGTCTCAAGCAAAATATAGTCCACTATATCATCATCTACTATCAAGGTTGAATATTAAGTCACCTTTGATATTGCAAGCAATGTGAAGTACTTGCAAAGCATGGTACTAGAATTTGGCATATCAACCAATCAACCTACTAAGATTTTCAATAGCAATTAGTCAAATATAAAAATAATTTATAATCTAATTTTGTATAAAAATTCAAAGAACATTAATATTTATTATCACTTTTTTCATAAATTACAAGCATAAGAACACATTAATATTCAATATATTTCAATACATGATCAAGTAGCAAATATCTTAACCAAACTTCAAAGGTTTTACAAACTAGGCAAATTCACTATAAGGATAGATACTAGAATAGTAAAAAAGGTGGTGTTGGTGCTCAAAATGGTTTCAACTTATTACAAGGATAGACATTAGGGTAACAAGAAAGGGAGTGTTGGTGTTCAAAATGGTCTCAATTCACTACAAGAGTAGATATCAGGATAGTAAGAAAGAAAGTGTTGGTGTTCAAAATGGTTTCAACTTACAACAAGGATAAATACTAGGATAGCAAGTAAGAGAGTGTTGGTATTCAAAATGGTCTCAACTTACTACAAGGATAGATACTAAAGAAGCAAGAAAGGGAGTAAGAAATAGAGTATTGATTTTCAAAATGGTCTCAACTCACTACAAGGGTAGACACTAGGATAGCAAGAAAAAGAGTGTTGGTATTCAAAATGGTCTCAACTTACTACAAGGATAGATACTAAAAAAGCAAGAAAGAGAGTAAGAAAGGGAGTATTGGTATTCAAAATGGTCTCAACTTACTACAAGACTAGACACTAGGGTAGCAAGAAAGGGAGTGTTGGTATTCAAAATGGTCTTAACTTATTACAAAGGTAGATATTAGAGTAGTAAGAAAGAAAGTAAAAAAGAGAGTGTTAGTGTTCAAAATGGTCTCAACTCACTTTAAGGCTACACACTAGGGTAGCAAGAAAGGAAATGTTGGTATTAAAAATGGTTTCAACTTACTACAAGGATAGACACTAGGATAGCAAGAAAGGAAGTAAGAAAGGGAGTTTTGGTGTTTAAAATGGTCTCATGTCACTATAAGGATAGACACTAGGATAACAAGAAAGAGAGTGTTGGTATTCAAAATGGTCTCAACTTACTACAAAGGTAGACACTAGAGTAGCAAGAAAGAGAATAAGAAAGGAAATATTGGTGTTCAAAATGGTCTCAACTCACTACAAGGATAGATACTAGGATAGAAAAAAAGAAAGTGTTGGTATTCAAAATCGTCTCAACTTACTACAAGGATAGATACTAGAATAGGAAGAAAGGGAGTAAAAAATGAAGTATTGGTATTCAAAATAATTTCATTTCATTACAAGGATAGATACTAGGATAGAAGGAAAGGGAATGTTGGTATTCAAAATGGTCTCAACTTACTACAATGATAGATACTAGAATAGCAAGAAAGGGAGTGTTGGTATTCAAAATAGTCTCAACTTAGTATAAGAGTAGATACTAAGATAGCCAAAAAGAAAATAAGAAAGGGAGTTTTGGTATTCAAAATGGTCTCAATTCACTACAACGATAGACACTAGGATAGCAAAAAAAAAATGTTAGTGTTCAAAATGGTCTCAACTCACTATAAAGGTAGGTACTAGGGCAGCATAATCAGGAGTGTCAGTATTCAAAATGGTCTCAATTTATTACAAAGGTAGAGACTAAAGTGGCAAGAAAGAGAGTAAGAAAGTAAGTGTTGTTGTTTAAAATGGTCTCAACTCATTAGAAGGGTAGAGACTAGAGTGGCAAAATTGGGAGTATTGGTATTCAAAATGGTCTCAACTTACTACAAGAATAAATACTAGACTAGTAAGAAAGGGAGTAAGAAACAAAGTATTGGTATTCAAAATGGTCTCAACTTACTAGAAGGATAGAGACTAGGGTAGCAAGAAAGTGAGTGTTGATATTCAAAATAGTCTCAACTTATTACAAGATTAGATACTAGAGTAGCAAGAAAGGGAGTAAAAAAAAAAAAGTATTGTTGTTGAAAATGGTCTCAATTCACTAGAAGGGTAGATACTAGGATAGCAAGAAAGGGAGTGTTGGTATTCAAAACGGTCTCAACTTACTACAAGGATAGATACAAGAGTAGCAAGAAAGAGAATAAGAAACCAAGTGTTGGTGTTCAAAAAGGTTTCAACTTACTATAAGAATAGATACTAGGGTAGTAAGAACTGGAGTATTGGTATTCAAAAGGGCTCAACTTACTACAAGGATAGACACTAGAGTAGCAAGAAAGGAAGTAAGAAAATGAATGTTGGTGTTCAAAATGGCTAAATTGACTATAAGGATAGACACTACGGTAGCTAGAACAGGAGTATTGATATTCAAAATGGTCTTAACTTACTACAATGATAGAGACTAGGGTAGCAAGAAAAGAAGTGTTGATATTCAAAATGGTTTCAACTTACTACAAGAGTAGATCCTAGGATAGTAAGAAAGAGAGTAAGAAAGGAAGTGTTGGTGTTCAAAATGGTCTCAACTCACTACAAGGATAGACACTAGGATAGCAAGAAAAGGAGTATTAGAATTCAAAATGGTTTCAACTTAATACAAGAATAGACACTAGGATAGCAAGAAAGGAAGTGTTGGAATTCAAAATGGTCTCAACTTACTACAAGGATAGACACTAGAGTAGCAAGAAAGGGAGCATTGGTATTCAAAAGGGTCTCAACTTACTAGAAGAGGAGATATTAGGGTAGCAAGAAAGGGAATAAGAAAAGGAGTGTTGGTGTTTGAAATGGTCTTAACTCACTATAAGGATAGACAGTAAAATAACAAGAAAGAGAATAAGAAAGAGAGTATTGGTATTCAAAATGGTCTCAAATTACTACAAAGGTAGATACTAGGGTAGTAAAAAAAAAGAGCATTGATGTTCAAATTGGTCTCATTTTACTACAAGGGTAGACACTAGAGTAATAAGAAAGGAAGTAAGAAAGAAAGTGTTGGTGTTCAAAATAGTCTCAACTGACTACAAGGATAGACATTTGGATAGCAAGAAAGGAAGTGTTGATATTCAAAATGGTCTCAATTAACTACTAGAGTAGAGACTAGAGTAGCAAGAAATGGAATAAGAAAGGGAGTATTGGTAGTCAAAATGGTCTCAACTTACTACAAGGATAGACTCTAGGATAGCAAGTAAGGGAGTGTTGATATTCAAAAATGGTCTCAACTTATTACAATAGTAGAAACTACAGTAGCAAGAAAGAGAATAAGAAAAAGAGTGTTGGTATTCAAAATAGCTTAACTCACTACAAGGATAGATATTAGGGTACCAAGAAAGGCAGCGTTGGTACTCAAAATGGTCTCAACTTACTACAAGGGTAGACCCTATGATAGCAAGAAAGAGAGTAAGAAAAGAAGTATTGGTGTTCAAAATGGTCAAAACTCGCTACAAAGATAGACACTAGGATAGCAAAAAAATGAGTGTTGGTATTCAAAATGGTCTCAACTTAGTACAATTTAGAGACTAGAGTAGCAAGAAATGGAGTAAGAAAGGCAGTGTTGGTGTTCAAAATGGTTTCAACTCATTGCAAGGATATTCACTAAGGTAGCAAGAAAAGCAGTGTTGGTATTCAAAATGGTCTCAATTCACTACAAGGGTAGACACTAGAGTAGAAAGAAAGGGAGTATTGGTATTCAAAATGGTCTCAACTCACTACAAGGATAGACACTAGGATAGCAAGAAAGGAAGTGTTGGTGTTCAAAATGGTCTCAACTCACTATAAGGGTAGACACTAGGCTAGCAAAATCGAGAGTGTTGGTATTCAAAATGGTCTCATTTTACTACAAGGATAGACACTAGAGTAGCAAGAAAGGGAGTAAGAAAGGGAGTAAGAAAGGGAGTGTTGGTATTCAAAATGGTCTCAACTCACTACAAGGGTAGACATTAGGATAGTAAAATAGGAAATGTTGATATTCAAAATGGTCTCAACTCACTAGAAGCAAAGGTAGACACTAGGGTAGGAAGAAAGGGAATGTTGGTGTTCAAAATTGTCTCTCTCAATGTATGAGAGACTTCAACTAATTAACTTCTTTGTTCATCAGTATGTCCAATTTGAATCCATGAAGTCTCTATACGTTGATATTTAGGTCTACAATCTCAGTATTGCAAGGCACCGCTTTTGCTCAACCTTCAGCTCCTCAGACTATATAGTTTGGCCTGTGATATGTTATGATCACCAATTAGAAACTACAAAAGCAACATCCAAAGTCCACAGCAACATTGTGCCACTGCACATTCTCCATGTGCCACCTCCATTGCTCCTTCAATTCCTTTGAAACTGGCACAGTGATATGGCCTCTCCCATTTTTTCGATCTCTGCCTGCTCTTTTCATGAACAAACACACACGCATATATACATAAAAATAAAAGTATATGTTTGTGTAGAAGTATATGTATATATATACACACACACACGCATATATACATAAAAATAAAAGTATATGTTTGTGTAGAAGTATATGTATATATATACACACACACACACACGTGTGTACATGTGCCGACCCCGTTGTCGTCACAGGATGCACCCAGAGGATGCAGCCACAAAACCAGAGGGATGAGGGGCTGAGGAAGAGGAGGAACATAACACGGAAACACGGAGATGCGGCACTGCTGCTGCCTCTGCTGCGGGAAAGAGATTCCATCTCAGCCTTTCAGAAATGCTGTCCACGCTTCCGTTGCAGAATGTGAGCACATATTCGTCCTCGCAGTTATCTCATCTTCTTTGACCCGCTGCTCGCCGTGCTTATCTTGCAGGCAGGGGAGGCAGGGTATGGGGAGGGGGCCTGCACCGACCTCCCTCTCAGGTTTCAGTGATGCTAGTTCGTCTCCGTGAGCTTTGCAAGTGAGAGGTAGACTGAAGAGAAGGTGGTAAGATCAAACAACATCGTGGATTATGCCTCCACGGTATCATATCTACCTGGATCTATGAAGCGAATCAGAACCTGCCTTGAGAACGTCAAGTTTGAATCTGGCAACGCCTCGCCGCACCTCGGTTGTCAACGTGAGCCTTACTTCGTCGGTCATCCAGCCTGGGGGGGATATTCTTCCACCAGATCCCGTGCCTTCGTTTTCGTTTGTAATCATAAGATTGGTGCTAGTGTCGAATGTGTCGATGTCTGTCGATTTTGCAAGCTGCAGTTTCGATCACATCCCTCGGGCTCTGAGCCTGTTGACAGAAGGCATATTGTGGGGGTTTTTTTTTTTTTCTTTTTTTTTGTTTTTTGTTTTTGTTTTTGTGTGTGTGTGTGTGTGTTGGAGTTGTGGAGTGTGACCTTCCAGGTTGTGTCATGGAAGAGGCGGTGGAGTGCGCAGTATGGAGCGGATGTGTAGGGTTCGGAGAGTGACACTGAGCGTCGCCATTGCCGAAGGCTGTTACTAGGGAACTTTTTGGGCAACACCAACACATCTCCCCACATGTCAAAGGTATCCCAAGGGTAAATTTTGTCAGCAATGTGGGTCATTTCACAGTTCGAAATCCACATAATGCATCAAAAAAGATACATCAGTGGTCGAAGCCACGTGATTGTGTCAAGTGGAAGGGAAGTTAGTTCAGAGTCCTTCCACTACTTTCCATTTTAAGCTTCAACGCATTGTGCTTTCTCCGAAACAGTCCGAGACATGCTCTGCAGGTGGCTCATTAGTTTTTACCTGACAGGCCCTTGATCGTTAAACTTGAAGACCCAGAGCAACGAGCTTCCACAACCCCACTCTGGATCACTGAAAACCGGCACCACAACCATTACTCCTCTAGGAAAGCAACCACATTGCATTGTATTTCATCTTCACAAACCTCCTTCGACATAAGTTTCAGAACGGTGAATTGCTGCCACAAGAAGTAATTAGATATAAATCATGTTCAATGAACCATCATTGTCCAAATCACCCACTTGGAAGAACATGAAATACTGTGACAAATACTGAACGACAATTGCTACCATTCGCGACCCGATTAACCTAGCAGAAGAAAGGTGGAAACCTGCATGGCACAGCTTGGGTGGTCGTGATTATCTCCGTGTGTTGCACAGTGACCATGTGTTTTTTTAAAAAGCTTCGAGATTACAACGAGGGTGTCAGTGACTTGACATATGCGGCGCAGCCTCTAAAGACAACATACTCACGGTCCAGTTTTTTGTCTCAAAAAAGGAGTACGTAGAAGAAGCATTGTCTTTAAAAACAAAAAGACATGCTTGCTGAGATTCAGTTCCAGCAGCACAAGTGGTTGCACAGAATACACAGCCTGAAGACTTGCCGACAGAATGATAAATTTCTTGGCTTCAATGAGGCAACCTGAAATAATAATGCAACAGTAATCTTTCATGAAGATGCTTTCAGAAGCTGCAGTATTAGCAGGGTCGGGAGAGAAGCAAGAAAGAAACAATGAATCAACACTACAAATCTGTGTTTTGCCCAACTTGTTGTCATTCCGGTGCCCATGGGCAACATGCAAAAAGCAGGCTAGCTAGAACCAAATCAGTATAAAGCAAAAAATAAATAAATAAATAAAATCCATTGTATGAGTTGGGTACCTATTCCTTTGGAGCCATTGGTTTTATGCAATACAAAGTTTCTAAGCTTTAAGAGTCTACTTTTGTAAAGAGGAAATTTGATGTTGTTTTATTTTATTTTTAAATTTGCTCAAAACAAGCATTAAAGAGTTTGTTTGGTTTTTGTTGGCCCAATCCTAGCCTCAATTGTTTTTCTAAGTTGAGCTAATCAAAAACTTATTATGGATTTGTTTTAGTTGAGGAAAATTTGTGTGCTTTTTATATTTGGGCATCAAAATCCAAAAAAAAAAGGAAATAAGCTTGAAAACATATATATATATATAGAAGTTTTTTTTAAAAAATATCTTAGTAAATGATCATATTAGATTATATTGTATTATATTATTATTAAATCTATATAAAATCAAACTATTAATATTTAGAGATACTAAATCATTTATAATAGAATATAATTTCATGTATACATAAAGATAAGTTCTATTGGTATTCTTCATTAAAAATCCTATTTTAAAATTTTCACATTCTACACAATATTTATTTATATTTTTAATGTTTTTTTTTATAAATATAAGACTTCAAAAATGTACTTTAAATATTTTCTTATTAAATTTATAGTAGTAAGATATTAAGTTCTTTGATAGCAATGTTACCAAAAATTAGTAATTTTTATATTTGGTTATTTAAAAATATTTTATACATTTATACTTAATAAACATCTCTAATTTTAAAGTTTTATAATAATTCATATAATATCTAATTTTAATAATTTTATTTAGTATATTTAATTCCAGGTGTATATCCCTACTTATATTTTAAAATTTTGATAAAAGATTATTTTACATTAAAATCTAAATGCATTCAATTATATTATCACTTTACTATTTATTATCCTTTTTTCTCTCTCTCCATAATCATCTTTAGAATAGAAATCACAAGGTAGGACATCCTTAATATACCATCACTTATTTTTAACTAAGATTTCAGAAACTTTTATACAAATAAGACTTCTCTACAAGCTTTTTTATATATATATATATATATAGTAAATTTAAAGATTAAAATTTTTCTTTTTATATTTTAATTTTTATTATGATTATGCATAATTTCTTTTCAATCAAGCACCATTTTTCAAAATTTTAAAATAAATTATAGTATCCACTTTTATAAGGCAGAAAAAGCTTAATTAGTAATACAGTATTTATGCATAAATATTTTTATTTAAGTAGTTCTATAATTTCTTACATATAATAATCTAATTTTTATCAACTTTTTATAATTTATAAGAAAAACCACTTGAAGATATAGTCATACTAAAGATATCTATTTTTAGTATTTTCATCTTAGTTTTAAATTTAAATTTTTTACTCTAACTTATTATCTTTTAAATTCTTTTATATTTTTCTTTAGATTTTTATTTCTCTATTGTTATATTTACTATAGTAGTATCAGATTACGCATACTCAATTATAATAAATAAAAATTGATGTAGTTATCTATGATTTTTTTCTTGATAAAAATACCTTTATTTAGTCCTATATTCTTGGCTATTATATATATATATATATATATATATATATATACTTCTTTAGTACCATAATTTTTATTTTATTTTATAAATATAGTCCAAATAATTTAGTCAATGCTAATGTTAGTTGTATGTTACTTACATGTTGGTCATATCAAACAACTTTAAAATCCCAATCTAAGTTATGGTTTTTAGTAAGAAATATTGAATTAATATTTATATATTAAATAAAAAATAATATATAAACTAACGTTAAAACCGTATTTTAAAGTATTATTATTAAGATTATTTTTTAAGTTAATACTATACTTGCTAGTTTTTTTACAATAGTTAACCATTACAATAATCTAGTTTTATTTGTAAACCTTCGAAAACATTGTGTTGAAGTCCAAAAACTTTTATATAATAATTTTAAAAGCACAAATAAAATTTTAAAAATGTATATAATTATTGATAACAAGCAACTCAGATAAAGCTATACTTACTATAAGTGTCCTATGACTTTTACACGTAATTTTCTATTTGATAATTAGTTTTTTATGTAAAGAAAAACAAAACAAACTTAAACATTTTACTTCATTTGTCATAATTGATTAGAGATATAATTTATTTATTTTTTCAAATATTTGTTATGACATTTCATTCTAAAGGTATAATTTTTCTTATTTATTCTTTCATATTTCGAAAGCTGATTTATGAAATGAAAATTATTACAAGCATAAACTTCTGTATTTTAAACTTCTAATTTTAGAACATCTTGCATCATAATTTAAACATAAATTTATAGAATTCATTATTTTTAAGACATAAATGTAAATTTTTTGTAGTACTTTTAAATTCTTCTTTTTAACTGAAAATGTTAGGAACCATTTGAATTGTTTCTAATTAGTATATAAAAACTAAAACTATTATATATATATATATATATATATATATATATATATAAAGTGTTAGCTACTAAAAATATATAAAATTTCAAATTTTATTTATTTTTAAAGATATATTACTTATAAAAAAATTAATTGTAAAATGCATGTTTAAGTGAAGTTTTTAAGCCTTTAAGCTATGAGCCATTACAAAATTTCTTCATAGACATCAACTAATGCTTGGTTAAACGTCATTTTTTTTGCTTATCTGGTTTGGTTATAAATTCAATATTTCAATTTCAAGTATATTTATACAATTAAAAAGAACCGAACTTAAAGAAGCTTATAACAAAAAAAAACTCATCTTTAGTTTTCATGTCTTTAAAGAGATTTAAGATAAAAAAATAAAAAATAAAAAATCTCTACTCTTTTTTTTCATATAAATGCTTTAATCAAAAAAAAAAGAAAAAAAAAAAAAGAAAAAGAAAAAAAAAAACATTAAGTGTCTTTTATGTACAATAATATAAGTATATGTTTAGAAAAAAAATAAAAATTCTTTTGCTGAACTTTACATAATCCAAAATTTAATCCAAAATTTAATAAAAGTCACATTTTAAAAGTTTAGTTACAAATTTGTACTCTTTTCATTTTATTTTAGAATAGGTGGATATGTGAACCATTCTATTAGAAAATTCTATTTAAAACAATACCGGTTTTTAACTTTATAAATTTTTTATATTTATTTGTATTTTCTATACATATATATATATATCCAACTAACTTGTCGTTTTTGATGTAACAATATCTATATTTAATATGTAAAAAAATCTTTGTTTATATGGTTATTGATTTATTATTGAATTCTAAAGAAGCATCAATATTTTTAATTTACTAGTAGTTATATATGATGTTTAAAAAATAATAAATAAATTAAATTGTTGCATCAACAAAAAATATATTTTTTCTTTAAGTTACGACAATCAAACCTTCATATAATGTCGAATATGGTTTTTAATGGCACGATAATTTAAAAAAAAAAAAAAAAAAAAAAAAATCAAATTACTGTATGAAAAATAAATAAAAAAATAAAAATAAAAATGAATAGCTTATTATATATTCAAAAGAGATTATTATTTATTGTAAGAGCCTATTGTGCATATTTCTAAAAGATCTTATATTTTGATCTTTTGATTTTATCTACGATATGAAATCAGAAAATTTATTAAAAATAAAATTCTATATCATATTACATCAACAAATTAGCTTCAATAAGAAATTGCACTGCCAAAAAGAGCAACAAGTGAATTGATGGACATTAATAATGTTTTAGTCCTTATGTACATCAAGCCCCTTTTCTTTTACCTTTGTAGCCTTTGTATGCCAAATTAGAATGTCTTCAAGAAGTCTTAAAATTTTCAAACTTGGTTTTTGTTTAATTATTTAAAGACCTAAACTCAAACACAATTCTTAGAATAATTTATTTAACATGAAATAGTCAAAGCTATTGTTTGTTTTTTGAATGGACCTATCTAACAATTGAGTAATATATATATATATATATATATATATATATATATTATTAAAAAAATTAAATAATTCTTTAATTATTTTTGGAGAAGTGAAGAAATATATTAACAAAGCACTTATGGAACTTGTTGCTAAAAAATAATATAATATCACAATTGTACAAAAAATTTCAACCTCAAGCATTTTTTAGAATTTTAGACGTATATATAAATATTATAAACTAATAGACTATTTTAAATAATTTTAAAAAATTGTATTATTATTTGAGAATCTATAGAGACCTCAACATCTTATGGAATATTTTATAAGATTTAAAATCCTTCTACAATCTTCTAGAAACTTTCTTAATTTTGAATAGCCAATCTTAGACATTCTATAAAGTTTTAGAAGTGTCTATAGAGTTTTCTTTATATATCTAGGATATCCCATAATTCTTAGAATTTTATTTAGAAGTTTTTAAAGAACCTAGTTGTGAGAGTATAAGTAAAGAGGCAAAAATAAGGGATA